TCCTAAATTAAGTATTTAGAAGTTTACAATAATTTCAAGGTATTAGGAAGTGAAAAGGCAAGCTATAAAAGGTATTAAGTGTGTTAATGAAATTATTTCAGAGACTGAGGACAACATATAAATACTACCTGCAAATCAAATCAAGACATAGAATATATATTTTGAAAATGTTTTAATATTATCAACAGATGCTTACAAAAAGTAATACTTAGATTATCAGTCAATATATAGATAATATATCCAATTACATTTGTCATATCAATGCAAATTAGACCCAAAACTCTATACACTATAAACTTATTAGAATCTCTAAACTAAAAGACGAATAATTCCAAATGATGACAAGGATGTAAATATATCTCTTCTACATGGATGGTGGGCATCCAATTTGGTCACCCACATTGAAAATACAAGGTTATCACTCAGGAATTGGTGACTCATTATCTGTTCCAAAATGTACAAATTCAAATTCTCAAATCACAAGTAAGCACAGTACACTCAAATTCAGCAGGGATTAGAAAATAGTGGAAACTCTTTGCTTGATGAGACCTTCTTGTACATACACTGTGGAGGGAAGAACCTCTATGTGTTCCAGTAGCAGGGAGGAACAGCATAGCTTAGTACTTAAAGATAGATCACTTTGTCTTTATTCCAATAAGTCACTGTAATGCAAAATCAGGTATGACAATAAAATAAACAGAACTACAGTTCAATATCTTTGGTGAACATACTAAAAAAAATCTATGCAAAATGTGAACAAATCAACACTACATAAAATGACAGTGTATCTTGTTCATCCTTGGTTTTAATCATTGGAAAAGAAATTTCAGTTAACATCTACAAACAAAACAACTAGTTTCACCAATTTATTATGATAAAGATAAAAGTCATATTCCTATAAAACATTTGTCAAAATTCAACACATTTTCCTAACAAAGTAGCTCAGCAAACTAAGAAGTGAAATAAATGCCTTTGAGCCAGGGAGATAGCTCAATACAATAAGCGCTTGCTTGGGAAGTGCAAGGTCCTGAGTTAAATCCTCGATACCAAAAAAATAAATAAATAAAAAAGAAATGTCCTCAACATGGTTAAGAACATTACAGAGAAGTCACCTCCTAACATCATTATCAGTGATGAGAAATTCCATACAAATATAACATCATGATGTTAGCATTCATTAATTGATTAATATTATTAAATTTGGGGAAATATTATGTCCCTTAAAGTTACAAAAAGGTAGTAAATGACTGCATGTTCTGCTTTTACATATTCTTATTTTAAATATGCTAATCAGTTAAAAAAGAAAAGAAAATTCTTCTTGTAAATGTTTTATTCTTTCCTTTAACACTTATTTCAAATCACTTATTTTTATTTATTTATTTTTAAGAAGAATAAAAAATAGAATTAGAACAGAAAAAATTACAAGTGATACAGAATTTCACATAACAAAGTAACATGAATGTCACAGTTTTTGTTGTTATACATAGTGTTGTCTTCCAACCAATTATTCATATTATCAGATATATGCATGTAAAATTGGAATATAATGAAAAAAGAAGGAAATGTTTAAGAAATTAAGAAGACAAAAAGTACAATCAATTGAAAAAATGAGATGAAACACATTAAATCATTTATTGCTTCTTTCCATAGACCAGCAGAAATTCACTGAAAGATTTTAGCAAATTTATAAAAGGAAAATAAGTATGAACAGCTAGGGATTCAACTTTAAATGTCTGTTCTTCTTAAGAGCACACATTTATTAAATCCTAAATTATGTACAGGAGAGTAAGGCATATGAAGGCCATATTAAGTATAATAATTTCTTTTTTCAGATATTGAAATTATTGACCCTATAATCAAAAGTTAGAAGAATATGAAGAAGGATAACTTTTCTTTTAAATTTCAGAATTAGAAAGGCTCATGTTGGTGCAAACACAAACTACACATAGGGAACTTCCTCAAATGCTGAAAGACAAAGTACGAAGAACCTCTCTATCAGGTTTTCACTACAAGAGAAAAAATAATTTCTACAACTATTACATTCCTCAAATAAGCATGCAAGAATGTTCACATACTGCCTCCTCACCAAATGCATAAGATTTAAATCCTTTGTTATTTTGTTTCTAGCAATAATTGGGTAGTGAGATCTATCACCTGACAGAAGTGACCTAATGAAGTAAGTTTACAAATCACATCTCACACCCTCCACTAAAGTAGATAGAACCAGTTATATACAAATAAATTTTCCCTGAAAGGCTAACATGAGAGAGAATCAATACAGAATGTAAAAAGCAATATAAATTTTGACTGAAGACTGACGAGAGCCACAGAGGGAGATGATTGTGGGACCCTAGAGCCCAGTATAACCCAGGAGCACCTTGTGCTGATACAAGGACAATAGATGAGCAAGAGCTCAGAGGACTTGCAGGAATAAACTGCTATACTGTAACTCAGAACACCTACCTTAATAGCACATTACTGGTTTTCATCAAAAGATATTAATCAATAGATATATTTTATCTAATAAAGCAAAACAAGGATTTATTAAAACAAGAAAATTTAGGGACTGCTAGATAGCTCTGCAAACTAAGTGCTTTCTTGAGCAAGCTCAGGGTCTAGGGTTGGATCCCTGGCAACACATGTTGTGCTGCCCCACCCCCTGGCGATGCAGTCAGGACATGGTGGTGAATGCCTGTAATCCCAGCATGAAGGAGGCTGAAAACAGGAGGATCACTATGTGTCAAAGCTGTGTAGTGAGATCCTGCCCCCCACACCCACACACAAAACCTACAACCAGAAAATTTACTGGAGATCTGCAATTAACATGATTTGTTTTACATGGAGAATCTGGCTGTGTGATAAAGATATCAGTCTACATAGAATGTCTCTGAGTACAATAACTGGGCAAATAGGGGCTGGGGAGATGGCTCAGGAGAATAACCGCTTGCCTGGCAAGCTCCAGAGCCTCAGTTCAATCCCCGGTTCTGCAAAAAAATAAATAATTAATAATAATTAATAAATAATTAATAATAATAATAAATAATAAAATTAAAAATAACTGGGAAAATACTTAAAAAGCAATTTCTAATGCTTGCACAGTCTCCAGAATCTTTGAGTTCAGTCTTGCAATTTTAAACCAGCCAGCTTCCTATATTTGCTTCCAATGACTGTCCAAGGGCATTTCCACACTGGGATAGATCATATCTTTCCTTAGTAGAAGTTTCTCATTGTTCTGCAATATTCTGTTTTCCACAAATCCTCCTGAAGCCTCCCTGCACATCTTTGTTTCTCAGTGTGTAAATGAGGGGGTTGAGGGTGGGAGTCACCACAGTGTACAGAAGGGTGATGAACTTTCCTTGACTGCGGGAATAGGAACTGGTGGGCTGTATATAGACCGCTGTGATGGTGCCATAGAAGAGAGACACCACCAACAGGTGGGACCCACATGTTCCGAGGACTTTATGCCAGGCTTGTGCTGATCTGATTCTAGCCACTGTTTGGACAATGTACGCATAAGAGACTAGGATGAGGGTGAGAGGGAGAAGGAGCAGGACCAAGGAAGCCAGGAAGAGCTGCACCTCATTAGCATGCACGTCCACACAGGCCAGCTTGATCATGGCAGGAACTTCACAGAAGAAATGGTAAATCCTATAATTCCCACAGCGGGGCAGCCGAAGGGTAATGGTACCCTGAATCAACGTGTTGCCCACTCCACTCAACCATGCCATTCCTGCAAGGGACCAGCAAATTCGCGGCTGCATCATTGTAGCATAGTGGAGTGGCCGGCAAACAGCTGCATAGCGGTCAAATGCTATGACAGCCAACAGAACACATTCAGTGGATCCCAGAGCTAGAGACACATACAACTGAATGGTACAGCCTGCAGCAGTAATGGTCTTGGCTGGACCACGGAGGTTCCATAGCAACTGGGGAACTATGCTAGTGGTAAAGCAAAGGTCAACCAAGGAGAGATTGGTGAGAAAATAGTACATGGGTGTCCAAAGCATGGAGTCCAGACAGCATACCAGGATGATGGCTGTGTTGCCCAACAGTGTCAGGAGGTAAGAGACTAGCACACCCACAAAGAGGATCTTCTCAAGTTGTGGCTGATCAGAGAAGCCCACCAGTACAAAATCACCTCCTAAACTCTGATTAATCATCTGCATCCCTACTCCTGAAAAGAATGTGTTTAAAATAAATGTGATACATAGGAGTACAATTAGAATCAGGAATGTTCTTGGGATATTTTGAATCTGAGGGAGAGTGGGGGTATTTTGTATATAAGGGCCAGGAAATTGAAAGGTGAGAGAATGGAGAAAGAAAAAGATCAAGAAGCCTATGTCTCCAGGAGGAAAGTATATTATTTATGGTCTAAAACATAACTGTTAAACAGTATAGCAGCAGATAAACCATAAAAGAAGTGACTGATAATGACAGTTCTTTCACATTGTTTTTTTTTTTTCTGGAAATGTTCCCTTTTCCTTAACAACATTTTGTAAGATTATACGAAAAGAAACAGGTTTTGTCAATGTGACAGACGCCTTTGTTTTAGCTGTTTTATAAGCTGCAAATATCAAAGTTATTAAATGTTATTACATTCATTTTTGAGGTTTAAAAATATCCTTGTAATTATAATTTTATATTTTTAATTTTTTATTTTGTAAGTATGCGTTTGAAATTGATGAAGCTTATAATCACCTCAGGAAATGGGCACATGAACTTACTTCAGCTTACTTTTTCCCCCTTCTCTTAGTTCGCCTCTGCCTTAAGTTCCCCATCAAGTTTTTCATGCTTGTTGATATTATTACTCTTACCTTACTTATATCATGCAATGCTTGCATTGATTGGAGCTATTAGGATCCTATTCAAGGAACATAATTTTCTAGTATTTCCTCCTCGCCTTTTCCAAAGAATAATTTCATATTTTTAGTAGCAGAATGACAAGACTATTTGATTAATTACATAATTTTAGTGAAAAAATTTTGATGTCATCCTAGAAAGCAAAACATTTTAGGCGTTTAACCATATTTGGCAATTACTATCTCTACTGTCTTTGATACAGTTGTCAAAATCATGTTAAAATAAGATATATATATATATATATATATATATATATATATATTTCTTAAAATGCCGTTTTACCATAATTCATCATGTAATTCTGGCTCTAAGCAAGTTTCATTTTCTGTTCTATTTTCAGAAATCTCTTCCATAATTTGTAATTTTTGTAGCCTTATTGAGGCTTTTGTATTCTGCGAAAACATAATTCAGACTTCAAATTCTTTGCCAATTCTGTTTCCCCTTCATATAACTATTTAATTTCTTTTACTTACCAATTTATATTAATCACTTAGTACTTATTTAAAAAGAAAATATTTTAAGAATTCAAATTGACACTGCACAATCGTCTCTCATACAATTCAGAATAAATTTGTTTATAATCATGTGTCTGCTAACCTAAAGCCTACTTCATGATCACATGAAAAGCAAGTGTGTAGTGGGCTAAGGCATGTCTTTGATTACCTTATAATTTTCAGGATGCCCTATAATTTAAAGAGTATAAGTATTAAATCTTTATTTTGGGGTATGCTGGCACTTTTACTCATTCTATTAAATTGCTTTTCTCCTTATTGTTCCTCTCTTAATTGAAAAATATATTGAAAAAATATTCCATAGTAATGAAATATAGACAATATATGATATGAAAAGCAGGACAACCCTAACCTCATTAAATTCTATTTAAAAATTCATAAAAGTTGTATTTTACCTTTACATATGTCACTATTATTTAGAAAAATTTTAATGTTTATAAAAATTATATTTGAGTAGATTTTCACAAAAACATAGTTTTGTGGAAAAAAAATATAATTTTTTAGATAGTCTCAGAAATGTTATTGTTTTCCTTGACACAATTCTATCTATCTATCTATCTATCTATCTATCTATCTATCTATATCTATGTATCTATCTCTGCATCTGTATCCATATTTCTATCTATATATCTATATTTGTATCTATAGCTATATCTATATATTCAATCCAGTTTTATTCATTCAATTTTCTCTGGATAATAGATAAAATGAACATCATGATTTACTACATCCTGATCTTTAAAATCCATGTATTTTAATATGATTGAACTTTCTTATGCAATTTTTTCACAAAATAAAATGATACAGAATCAAGTCAGTAAGAACAAGTCCAATGCATACATACATGCATACATACATACACAAACATAAATGATTGTGTTAGTAGCATGCATTGTTCTAAAATTATATCTGAGAGACTTTGGATTTTTAGTTCCTTACTTGTGTAACTAGAGTTTAAGAAAAGTACAAATGAAGGAAATTACCAAAAAGTAGAGAAAATGCTTTTTTTTTCATTTTTCTGTTTTGTCACTGTTCTGTATCTGAATGTACATTCATCAAAATTGTAAAAAAAAAAAAAAAACACTTCAAATATAATCTTCTTATAAGGTTGTAAGAGTCAATTTAACATGTTATTCATAAATAAAAACACTAAATAGAAGATAGTCATAAAATATAAATAAATCATTAGGTAATTTTTTATCACCCAAACTTAACAGCATAAAGGTAAGCAAGTTTGTTTTTGCTTACAGATCCAATAGATTCAGTCTGCTGGCTCCAACACAGAAACTGCAGAAGGGAAGAAGCTGCTGGTATAATGCTGGCAGGAATTAGAGAAAAGTAGAGAGGAGGAGAGAAAAGTGTACCCTCCCAGGTCGCCACTACAATGACCACCTCTTTTGACAGTGCCCTACCTGAACACAACAGTCTGCTATGAAATTACAAATGGATTAACCCACTCATGAGTAGTGCAGTGTCCCCATACTCCAGTGACCTTCTAGCATTCCAACTCTGAACACAAGGCTTTGGAGAAACTCTTTAGTTCTAAATGATAGGAGTGAATTATCATTTGGGGTGGTAAGAGGAAGGCTAACATGAGGAACTAAAGAAAATACTGAATCTTTCACAAGGAAGATTTGTACTATATGCAGATTGTGGAGAGAAAAGATGTAGAGATGCATTGTCTATTTCATTACCTCTGACAAATTTCTCTTTTCACTCTTCTGGTTGGTTTCCTAAGAAGCTGATGCTAATGAATGAGGTTTCTAAACATATGAAATTCTGGAAGGGAATTTCTAAACCTAAAAACAATTTTGTAGTTCAAGTGCTTATTTTCAGAGCCATAACACGCTGACATTTGCTACTGTACCAAGCTAATTTTGAGACCTTGGAAGCCCTATATTCCTCAAAATGCAACTATTACACACACGCACACCCACACAAAAAGAAAAAAAAAGAACTACCAAATAAAATCTCCTGGGGATTATACACAAAGGATAAGGCAGAACACTTAGATATTCAATTGAAAGTATTTTCAGGTTCTCAATTTTCATGCAAAAATTAAAATGGGAGAAATATACTGAAAATAAATTTCTGAGTCTCAACAAGGTTCATGTACACAGGCATTCACAATATGCCACTAGGCTAGAGCTCATCTGCTGTTCTGTTTCAAGAAGGTGGTACCAGAAACTGGGTAGTTAAATGGCAACTCAGAATTTTCAAAAGTTTTTGAAATGTTTCCTAGTCAAATAAGTTTAAAAAGCTCAAAGAAATTCAAAAAATAATGATGTTTCTTACAAATTCACAAAGGCTATGCCCGCTAAACTTAAATATTTGAATATTGGAATACTTACAAATTCTTTGGGGACAATACATTTGCTTAATTAAAACTTGTTAAAAACTGTAATAAATAAGGCAGTAAGACAAAATTTAAGAAATGCCATCACAGTAATATATATTTAGGGGTAGAAAGGATTATCAATGGGGTGAGAATATTCTTAGCTCTCACATAAAAAAATACCATATATCTCCTGGATAGCAATCATGAAATTGCTAGGGTCACACTAAGATGGGGATAGAATTTCTCTCATCTTGTAGATGTGGGAGGATTCTGAAACTTTGTCAGTTCATTATAATTTACATTTAGAAACAAACTAAAGGCAGACTTTAGGCAACAATACTAGAAACTTGTGTACAGGTGATGGTGGATCAAAAAGAGTATAGTTGAAATTAACCTAAGAATTATATTTAGCCTGTATAAAATACAATAATTTTAACCTGATTAAGTACAAACAAGCCAAAATTACAAATTGTTAAAAATATAAGAGCTTGAGAGCTATGGATGAATAAGTAAAATTATGTGAAACATTTTTATATTTTCTTAGAATATGCAGAAAATATATTTAAATATTTTCATCTGAGTGTATCTCCTAGTAAATACAAGTAGGCTGTCTAAAGCTTACACCATGACAGATAATAAATAATCTTCAAAAATTGTTTACATTTGTGAAAGGAAAGAAAAAATAGAGTAAAGTCACATAAATAATATGATAAACTTTAAAAAACAATCCACGATGAGGTCAGCAAAAAGTCATAAATGTCAAAAATATTTGTTCCCTTAAAGAAACAATAAAAACTCAGAAATAATGTTGTCAAGACTCTGGAGAAAAACAAAGATTTGAACAACAGTTCCTGAAAAAAAGAGTAAATAAATATAAACATAGCAGGAGCATTTTTAGGGTCTTCTCCATCTTTGTTCTACCCAGTTGCCTCCCTAATGCTCAATTCGAAGTGGCAGCAGCAACCTGAGAATTAATTATAGGACCTGTGTCCCTTATCATAGAGAGAACAGAGCAGACTTTACTCGGTAGTCAGTGTGTCTGCTCTAATCTTAGTCAAGCTATCAGGAAGACAAATGCAAAAGTTCCTTTCAACTAACTCAGAATTTATGCTGGAGGAAGAGTTGGCACTGCTCAAATCCTTGGCAAGGAAAATGAACAGCATGCATGAGTCTGGAGCAAAATATTATGGGGGAAAATAAGTGTTAGTTTACTTAAGGAACAAGGAAAAAAATCTGATAATTTTTTTGACAATTTGAACACTCAAAACACCCACATAGATGGCAGGGACCTAGAAAGCTAAAGGTATGCTCAGGGCAATATGTACTTCCAGAAAGTACTGACGAAGACTCTCTACTTTCACTTTATGGTAATTACTTACTCAGAAGACCTTTGCTAACTGTTGAAAAAAAAAGCCCAAAGAAAAATCAAAATGTAGTTACTGACAGAGCCAACATG